CCTCAGCTCTGATGCTGTCAGACCTGCTGAGCTTTTCCAGCAACTTTTTGTTGCCACTGACCATTTACTGTTTACTGTCACTCAGCCACTTTTGTGTCCATGTTGCTAATGGACTGGTTATCTCATGACCTGTAACCTTGCTGAAGTATGTGTGGCACAGTATGAAACACTTTCTGGAAGCCCTTGTACACCACATTAATCATTTTACCCTCATCAAGCCTTTGTTACCTCTACTTAATTTTTAAACTAAATTTTTTTATCATCCTTTAGAAATCCACACTGACTGTAATCAGCCACTGTTTTTCCCCTGTAACTAATCTTTCCTAAAATAACTGTAGCAGCTTTCCCACTGAAGTTAAATGTTATTCGCTTCCTGAACTCAGCTTGTTTACAAATGAGGTCTTCTGGCATAAAAGCAGATTTTGAAAGGACCTAAAATTTTTATCTGGAATAAATTAGAAATAGTCAGGGCTTATTTATTCCCCAAAACCATTTCCTTGACAGTCCTAATTTTTAAGTGAATGAATTTTGGGAGTCTCAAGTTGAAAATGAAATAGCAAAGTTCTCATTGTGTACATTATCTGAGCTGGGTTAGATAAGTTAGAACAATAGCATTAAATTTAGAAATTGGGAATTAAATGAAATGGAGATTTCTAAGAGAAGTGATCTTTAAATTGCTTGAAGATAACTGTGAAAATACTACCCATTTAGCTGAGAATAAATTGAGATCATTGTCAACTTGTTTAAATATCAATGTGCTTGCAGTTTATTCATGTAATCTTTTTAGTCTCTGGACTGGGAAATGTGTCAGCAATTTTACTGCATTAGTTTCTCAGGGTATTGTAACAAGAAAAGCCTTGGAATGGAAACTGTTTAATCTTCTGTTCAAAGGAGTAAGAACTAGTTATGCATCCACAGTTCAGCATAGAACATGAAGTTTTCTTTCAGCAATTAAGATTTCATTACATAGAATATGATTCCAAAAATTCAGTTAGTTTAAAAATAGGTAAACTTTTAGTTGTCTTAATTTGTTGCTAAATACTGTGAACTCCAAATAAATGGATAGAATCACAGGACTTTATCTATTTGAGTTGACCATTAGTAACTTGCATGAAATGCAAACCGAGTAGCCATTAGAATCAAGATCCCTGGCACCTGAAGAGCTTTTCCCTGACCCTACTGAGGATAAGATCATGAACTGCAATTGGGTCAAGAATAAAACCAAACCAACCTGAGGGATAGCAGGGACGATAGTACGTCACTACTGGCTTGGTTGACGTGTTTTTAAAAATGGGTTTAAGGACAAACAACCAAAGTTATATTTTCCTCCCCTGAGCACCAGATTTTGAACTTGATTTTAATTGGCTAAGACCAGAGATTGATATTTTTTCAATTTTTAACTTGCCTTTTCTTGCCTGAAATCAGTACCTGTTTCCAATTCTACTTGCAGCTGCCTTCCTAACACAGACCGTCTGTTTGGATGATACAACAGTTAAATTTGAGATCTGGGACACTGCTGGGCAAGAGAGATATCACAGCTTGGCACCAATGTACTACAGGGGTGCACAAGCTGCCATTGTGGTCTACGACATAACCAACACAGTGAGTAAACACCTTTATTGTTGCCTATTTAGTCTCCAGCACCACTGCCGCTGAACTGTCTGTTTCTTTCTAACCATTATGCGTACTGAATCTTTTAAAATATTCAACTTCTACAGATATTTGATGCTAAACACCGCCTGCTTTAGCATTGTCGATTCATTTTAGTACAGTTGAAGGCTTCTGTTCTTTCCTGTCATAAAATTGATCACCCTCTATATTATAGAGATTCAACAAAAGGACTACTGGATCATCTGGTTTGTAGCTGTATACACTCCTCCATTGTAATCTTGTCATTTTGGTCTCTGCAATGTTTCTCAAGAGACTTGATAGAAACATTTCACACGGGTGATGAATGAGTATGGAGTTATAAATTCAACCACTGGAACCTTGCGTTAGATCTTGTAACTAACTTGTCCAAATGAGATTTAGGAAATAATGTTCTGGTTGTATTCTATGTAGTAAACCTTGAACAAAAGCATGTTGTCTGTGCAAGTATACATCAAACTGAACGCCATCAACTTGGGTCTGTCTCCAAATCAATTAGCCAAATTCTCAACTCCAACAAAGGAAAAAGTTCCTGAATACAGATGGAATGCCACTAACTGTATTAGTGCTTCCTGAAAATCTGGTTTTAAAACCTAGATTATATACCTGTCATGCTTGTCAATCCTGTTTATTTTGAGTGAATTCCATTAACTCAAATCGGTTCTAGGATAGTTCACAAACCGGATTTGTAGATCTGCGAGGAGTTTCCTTCATTTTGAGCTTGTTCCAAACTTTCTTTTTTTAGTTAGTTTCACCCATATTACGAATTGGTACTTGAGCAATAACATGAAAATGTCTGAGATAGGAACTGCTGATGCCGATACGTTAAAATGTCATTCTGTTTTGGTTTGTACTTATTTCCTACCTTTTTAAAGTACTTTCCAGTTGTGACTAAAGCACTTGGCAGTGTGTAAGTTTGTGCTTTTAAGGTTGTAGTTGTGATGACATCCTAACACCCACTTGTTTTACAAAACAAGTGGGTGAGAACTTTTTACATTACAATTTCCTCAATGTTTCAGCACCTAAGCTTAATGTTCCAGAGCAATTGGATAATTTGTTCATTTAATTTCTTTTGAGATTGTATCTTTAGCAAGTAAAAACGCTTTCAAAATTAGTCAACTATTCAACCAAATTTATACACCAAAACTTCATGTAATGTGTAACTAAGTAGATAACTTCAATCCCCTCTAAAGGAAGAGGTTGGTAGCCTGTGTGGTTTGTGGGATTTTTTAAGACACTATACTACTTAAAGCCAGTCTGACTGCCGCTACTGTCCCACTTCCTAACAAGTCAGCGAGTTGTGTGTGCTGGACATTTTGGTTGGAATCTGCTATGTATCTGCAATTCTCCAATAATAAACCTAATCTTTTAAATTTAAAGGATACCTTTGCACGAGCCAAGAACTGGGTAAAAGAACTGCAGCGACAAGCTAGCCCAAACATAGTGATTGCATTAGCTGGTAACAAGGCTGACCTTGCAAATAAGAGAGCTGTGGAATTTCAAGTAAGTAATTGTACAAGATTGCTAATCACTTGCGCTCTTCCGTTCCTTCCTTTCACAATTGTATAAAATTGTTCTTGCAACTCTATTTTTCATTTATTTAGATGAGTGGATTATTTAAGTGCTGTTTAGAATTTTTTTTATTTTCACAGGAAGCGCAAGCATATGCAGAAGACAACAGCTTGCTGTTCATGGAGACTTCAGCAAAGACTGCAATGAATGTGAATGAAATATTTATGGCCATAGGTATATGAATACTCTTGATTCTTGCACAAGCAGGTTTTCTATCTTAAATACTTCTGATCCTTTTTTAGTTCTGCTGTGACGGTTGTATGTATGCTGTCTTCCCTGAAGCTGCTTTTTTCTGCACGTTAGTTTTGTTAGCCGTTTTGTGCACCTGTTGATTTGTGACGCAAAGTTGAGTATTGTTATATTCAAGATAGCAAGGGTGACTGTTCTTTAAAGAACATTGATTTCATTTATTCTTGTACATTATTTCAGTCATTTGAAAGTAGATCTCCGGATGGTGTTATGCAAGGTAATGGTTCTGAAGGGTCAATTTACATTCACTCCATGTATTCTACCTTTTGTGTCTTTCCAATCTGTTAGTGGAGTTGAGTTCTTTTCTAGCTTTGAGAGAGCTGATATCATCGGTACCAGTTTCCCAGGATCCTTGCAACTAAACCTGACCAAATTTAGTTGTTCTCATTGCAATCATGACAAACCTTTTTGAAGAACAGTGCTGTTTCAGGAAAACCATGTAAAAATGGAGAGAAACCATGTAAGCAGTACTAAGAGACTATTACAAAGAAACTTGAAAAAGCAGTGAACCAATAGAACTGCTAGATACAATTCACAGCTTCACTTGCTTTATTGTTCCAAATTCTTCAATGCAGGTTTTAAATTGACTGTACAACATTTTGTCAATTTCTAACTAGTGAATGCAAACTCAGATTTAAAAAGGTATTAATGATTTTAAAATGACTTTGAGTTAAGAACCAGCACTTTGAGAAGAAATGAAAGAAAACCGAATTTACTTGGAAATAGTTAACAGGACCATATAGAACCCAAGAATGGACTTGGAGGTGACCGTCCTTAAGAGTACTGCCTCCAAAATCAAACAATAGAAGTAGCATGTAGTAATAACATAGCACAAGAAAAACTGGTGATCCAGGATTCATAGAACCTGTTTGTTCACGGACATTCAGTTGAATTTTAGCTTGACACCAGTGTTAAGGTCCTACTCTTATCGAAGCAGAAGCTATAAACTTACTGATGAAACGAAAGGCTTAAGGGAATAACTGTTAAGTATGCAGGAATGCTACAAGCTATGTTGCCGCACAAGGGTGTGCAAGGTAATTGAAAATGCATGTTATTCACAATTTAACGCACTGACGTTTGCACCAACTGGCTTATTTGGGCCTCTGCCTTGGGCCAAAAGAAAATCCCACATGTTTCAAGTGAACCACTGGTTTAGAAGCAAACAATTACCAACACACTGGCCCATCAGCAAGCCGTGATTGACCGACCAGTGAATTTCATTGGGCTTCTCAGATTTAGACAGATCCCAAAGAGAATGTGAGATAGTAGGAACTGCAGATGCTGGAGAATCCGAGACAACAAGGTGCAGGGCTGGATGAACACAGCAGGCCAAGCAGCATCATAGGAGCAGAGAGGCTGACGTTTCGGGCCTAGACCCTTCATCAGAAAAGGGGGAGGGGAAGGGGGTTTTGAAATAAATAGGGAGAGAGTGGGAGGCGGATAGAAGAGGGATAGAGGAGAGGATACGTGGAGAGGAAACAAACAGGTCGAAGAGGCGGGGATGGAGCCAGTAAAGGTGAGTGTAGGTAGGGAGTTAGGAAGGGGATAGGTCAGTCCAGGGAGGACGGACAGGTCAAGGGGGCGGGATGAGGTTGGTCGGTAGGAGATGGAGGTGCGGCTTGAGGTGGGATGAGGGGATAGGTGGGAGGAAGAACAGGTTAGGGAGGCAGGGACGAGCTGGACTGGTTTTGGGATGCAGTAGGGGGAGGGGAGATTTTGAAACTTGTGAAATCCACATTGATACCATTGGGCTGCAGGGTTCCCAAGCGGAATATGAGTTGCTGTTCCTGCATTTGATTTGAGATTTTCTCTTTATACAACGAAGAATGCACAACAATTGCTTTAGATCTGCAAAGCAACTCATGAGGCCAATCAGTCCACAAGGCCAGATTAATCTCTTCCAAAGTGCTATCCAATTACTTGCACCTCCCGTGCTTTGTTCCCAAAGAGCTGCAAATTCTTCTTTTGCAAGTAAATGCACAATTCCAGTTTGCGAGAAGCCTTTGGATCTGCTCCCTCTTCGCAT